AAATTTATTTTCAGATCATTGGTTAAGCATGATCCAGCTTCAGCTCCACTTTTAGCAAATGAATCCATCTTTGCCTCTATTCATATGACACCAGGAGCATTCCTGGCGATGCCCCGCCCCCCAACCCCTGCTTACTGTACCCTGTCATTCTGTACTTGATACATGGATGTGTCATCTTGCTCCATCCAGGTCGGCAGGAGGAAGGCAGAACATGGGCTTGGGAATCAGGAAGCCTGACCCACTGAGGCATCCTATACAAGTTGCATAAGCTTTCTGAGCTTCAGTTTCCTCATCCGAAAAAACGGGGAACATCAAACTTGCCTACCTCTTAGTTTTTTTCTGAGATCAGATAAAATTGCACATGCTGAAAACAGTCTAAGTACTACTGAAATAATAGTTCCAGTCATCATTTCGTAAAATTGTTTAATGTGTAAAGTGTTTTGCTGTTTAAAAAAAAAAAAACAGATATAAGAAAAGTGCAAAAAAATTCATTTTCAGGTAAAAGGATGGGCAAATAGCAGGATTCCTTTTTGATTGCACTTTTTAGTGTGTGTGTGTGTGTGTGTGTGTGTGTGTGTGTGTCTTATTATCTGCACAAGCTCTCTCTTTGCCCGCCGCCATCCATATAAGACATGACTTGCTCCTCCTTCACTTCCGCCATAATCGTAAGGCTTCCCCAGCCATGTGGAACTGTGAGTTCTCCTTTAAACCTCTTTCCTTTGTAAATTGCCCAATCTTGGGTATGTCTTTATCAGCTACATAAAAGCAGACTAATATAAGCTGCTTGTGGCAATGCCACATGAAATTGGTTCTGTCACCAGGAGCAGTCACTATGCTATAATCAAAGCCAGTTGAAGAAGATAGTTTCTTAAGATTGGTGAACCCACTTGTGAGACTAAGTTGTTCTATTTTCATCTCCCTCATTTAGAATTCAATAATTGAAGGAAGTGGGAATGACTGGCCATGCATATGGTAAGGAAGTGATGATAGACACCCTGATCCTAAAGGAAAGCACATACACACCCCCAGTTAGCCACTCTTCCTGCAAGTGATAGTACCAGAACCTAGCCTTACCAAAGGAGGTTTTTTGCATGCACATCTACACAGGGAAATATAGTTGAATGTAGGTTCCTTTTGCTCTCCTAATGAGTCTTGGTTGACTGGAAGATGAGGGATAGAGACCAAAGCAAGTGTGTAATCCAAATCTGCAGTTTCCCATAGCCTCTAATCCCATTTTGAGGTTTTAAATGTGTCCCTTCAATAGAATTCTAGATTTCTCCTCATCAGTTAGCAACATATTAACCCAATCTATAGCGTCAAAATGATGTAGCACCTGAAATTGTCTTTTGGTGTTAGTGGCTTTGCTGCAGCTTCTCCCACCTTCACAGTATTAATCACAGCATTGTAGGCTGTGCCTGGGCCTCATACTTGCGAGTCATAAAGGGCACTTACATCAAATCTGTGACTATATTCATATTCTCTCTTCTTGTTGGTTCAGAAGATTCGGTGTCCCACTTCATGTACCCCAAAACCTAGTTTAATACTATGAAAAGTCACCTGTGTCCCATTGTACACACAAAGCCTAACTTCATTAAGGTGACAAAGGATGGACTAGATGGAGCTTTAATGCAGAAAAAGGCCGGAACACAAAGAGCCACCCACAGGCACTTAGATTGGTGGCTAATGGGTTGAGTCTTCTCAAGTGATGCCTCATTGAAGAGGAAGCTCCAAGTCAGCTTGGCACAAACAGCTTATCGAATGTCTCCTCAATAAGGCTACAACCTTTGGCCCCTTGTCCAAGGGACATTGTCAAATTAATGCCTTTCATTCAGAACACACCCAACATTCAAAAAGTAACAAGATTTAGTGCTTACAGGGGCTGTTTTGTATCTTTTTCACCAAAACCAGAAGTGTTTCCCATTCACTCCTAGTGTGTGTGTGTGACGCCAGATTAATTTTATTTACAAAATATTCACATAGGAACCATGAGACGTATTGAGAGTCCCTGGAAAATGACACCCTCCAGTCAAACATCCCAGTCACCTGGGCTTTCATGTCCGTGTACCACATCCCTGGTGAGAGCTGATGACAGTTGCATCCATGTCCCATCAGCCTGTTCTCTATTGATGAATTAATGAAAATAAAGATGAGGCTTATGTGAGGCATTTGAGCAAGTGTAATAGAAGGCTGTGAATAAGAGCTATGGATACAAATAGGTCAGACTCAAGAAGCCTGGCAGAGGTCAGATGGGCCTTTTTATAGTGGGATGCACTGTGTTAGGAATTGAGAGTAACCACAATCAAACTCCCCAGACATGATAGTCATGTACAAGAAAGATCTAATACAGCTTAGCCTATAAGGTGGGTGTAAGTCTGATGATCTAACAATAATATTAAAAATTGAGGGAGAGGACTCAATGATTTCCTCTCAATATTACCTAGATATACTCAATAGCTGCTTGACAAACAATAGGCAAATTTAGATTAAACAATCCTTTTCCAGGAAAGTCTCTTGAGCCTCCTCTATGCAGCTGCACCTTAAGCAAACTTATTAATTGCTTCAAATAGGTCCCTGTCTTGAATCCAGAATTCCCTGAGAATTTGGGAACTCCTCAAGGTCCCTGTCTTGAGGAGTAATTGATGTTTTTCCCCTCAAAGCAGAGCCTGAGATGAGAATTTTTGTGCAAGTACATTATTAGGGAGCCCTCTGAGGAGAAGTAGTACAGGGCAGGGGTAAGAGCTAAGCAAAGATGTGGTCCTGGCTCCATCCTAACTTCAGCCTGAGACCACAGTGAGCTCTGGGGCCCAGTCTGCACCATGGATTCATCCCAGCTTGTGGCATGGAGCCAGACTGCAGTTTGGTGGATAGGTGCCTGGCCAGGAGAGCAGAGGGGAGGGGATGCCCCTACACTGATGAGACCAAATCCATAGCAGACATGTAAAGTGGTAAAAGAAGTGGTTCTCATTCCATCCTGACCTCACTAAGGACATGATGGCATGGCCATGGGCCCCTCACATGACCTCTCTGAACATCAGTTTCCTCATCTGTAAAATGGAAAAGTGTGTGGCATGCTTGGATTAGGTGATCCCCATACCCTAAGCTCTGAAATGCAATGATTTCAACAAGGGAAGTGGTGGAGAGGCTTGTTGAGGAATAATCGATGTTTTCTTCTATTCACAGAAGAAAATTCATTAATGTAAATATGTCCCTGAACGATCACTTCATTCAAAGCTCTTCTCTACCTGGAATAGCTCTGGATGCACAGGAAAATCTAAGAAGAGCAGTAAAATTTCCCTGAAGGCATATATTCTAAATGCGATGGCAAGATTCTGTCTTTAAACAAAGCATTTTGAGGGCAGTTTACCTCAAGGGAGTGTTAATACAACCAGACAACCTCATTTAACTGACTCAGGCATCAAAGTGAATTACAGGCAAGAGGCTGGTGTAAAGCACCAGCCAGAAGCTGTCCCCGCAAAATGGGACAACCTCTATGGGGAGCAGTTTGGCAAAATTCTATCAAAATTATAAAGACATTTACTCTTTGGCCATGCAGTCCCCTCCCTCGAAACTTAGCCTGCAGTATGAAATGATATTTATGCAAATTTATTCAATGTGCCACTTTTTCCAAAAAAAAGTCCAAGGCTGGAAACAACTCACTGATCCATCAATAAAGAACTAATTAAACAAAAACAATTATGGTACCATATATACAACAGAATATTGTGCAACTGATGATACTTGGTACTGAGAACATTCTGTACTTATTTGGAAATTTCTCCAGGATACATTGATCAGAGAAAAAGCAAGTAGAGGAGCAATGTATTATGGAATAGTATTATATCATAAACATATATGTATGTATAATAAAAGTATAATGCTTTTATGTGGGAAATGGAGATCATAATATCTATGTATGTTCATGTGTATCCCTGGATATCTAGAAGTCATTTTTATGTGCCTCAAGAAAACTCTCTATAAGTGATTACCTATAAGGGATGACAGTGGAGAAATGATACAGATGAAGATGTAGTTGAGAGTGAAAGTTCTCACCTAGTGCCTTTTTATACATTTTTTTCGCCAACCACCATGGGCTACTCCATAAGGAATAGAGCATCTGTTTGTTTAAAAAATAAAATGAAAAATTTAAAGGTAGTAGGCATCAATAAAAGCTGATCACTCCAACTTCCTTTATTTCATGCTTTGGTTCAGGGATTGGCAAATTATGGTTAAATAGTTGCCCTGTAGGGGCTGGGCATGGTGACTCACACCTGTAATCCCAGCCAAGGTAGGCAGATCCCTTGCCTGGCCAACATGGTGAAACCCTGCCTCTACTAAAAATGCAAAAATTAGCCGGGCACCATGGCAGATGCCTGTAATCCCAGCTACTAGGAAGACTGAGGCCCAAATCACTTGAACCGAGGAGGTGGAGGTTGCAGTGAGCTGAGATTGCACCACTTCACTCCAGCCTGGGCAACAGGGCGAGACTCTTTCCAAAAAAAATAGTAGTTGCTACAGGGGCCACGTGGCTCATGATGATGAAAATATTTACTATCTGGCCCTTTACAGAAAGTGGTTGCCAAACACAGCTTTAAAATTTGGAGTTAACTCATAAAAGAACTGTGATCATACCTACCAGTAAGCTTCTGATACCAAAGGATTTTGTCTTGAAGTCAGCTTTCCTGTCCACAGATAGCTTTTGCATTTAAAAGAAAAAAAAAAAGAGGTGAGAATACTGTACTCGTTAAGAAGAGGGCATGGACTCAGGACAGATGATCCAGGCTTAAATCTGAGCTCTGTCGCTCATTACCCTGTCAACTTTGGCAAGTTAACTTCTAAAATTCTCAGTGTCTTCATCTGTAAAATGTTGTCCCTCATAAAATTGTTTGGAAATGCCTCCCTCTTACAGTTGTTTAGAGGTTGAAGTAGGCCGTGTTGCCAAGGAGTTTAGCACAATACCTGCTATTATTATTATCTAATATTGTGATTTTTTTTTTTAACAGGGTGATGACCAGTTAAATGTATTTGGAGAGGACACTATGGGAGGTGAGTTTTCCTTACTGATCAGATCAAAGTTGTCATTTTAGTAGCTTTTGACTGTTCCTTTTTAATTAAACACCAACCAAAAGATGAAATATTACAGCATGTACTTTTCCCTTAGACAAGGAGTATGACTAAAAGCAGAACTCTTTGGGAACTCTTTGGGTCTGCCTCTATCCGTGTAAAGAACCAAAGGGGTACATTACTAAGAGATGCATTTCCCAACTGCCCAGAGAACATGACTCCTGAGAGGCTCAGCGAAAAGAGGATGCTGTCTTCAAATATCTTTGAAACATGCTTAACACCAGGTCCCCACTGGAAGATTCAAGTATATAATAGCATCTAAAGCTCCCACACAAGTCCTGCAATAAAAAGAGTTGTCAAACTTTAATTCAACATTCTTTAAACATAATTGAACCACAAAACGCTTTTTCCTGCATGGTAGTTACTATTCCGCAGTGTACCTTTGGGACCGAACCTACCCTACACCAGGATTATCATGCTTTGTAATTTTTGTCATATTATAAGTTTGGCAAATGGCCAGGAGCAGTGGCTTATGCCTGTAATCACAGCACTTTGGGAGGTTAAGGTAGGTGAATCACTTGAGATAAGGAATTCAAGATCAGCCTGGCCAATAGGGTAAAACTCTGTCTCTACTAAAAATACAAAAAAAAAATTAGGGATGGCGACACACACTTATAATCCCAGCTACTTGGGAGGCTGAGGCAGGAAAATTGCTTGAACCCAGGACTATGAGGTTGAAGTGAGCCGAGATTCTATCATTGCACTCCAGCCTGGGTGACAGAGTGAGACTCCATCTCAAAAAAAAAAAAAAAAAGTCTTGCAAAAAGTAAAAAATCCACCCATAACTATCCATGCATGTAACTGAAAATAGATATGATTGTGTAAATTTGGGACTATCCAAAAAAGATAAGATTCATAATTGTCCTAAGTAAAAATACCTTCCAATATTTCTATACTGTAATAAAAGTTATTATATGGGTCATAGAAATATGTTTATAGTGTTGATCCTAAACACATACGAATAAGTGATTTAGCTTTTTAAATAACCCCAGATCTAATCGTGCAAAGGTCCATGAGCACAAGGTGGTAGGTAAAGTGTTATTTGATGATAATGACAAGAGCAGTATGTGAAAATCACAGTCACCAAATGACATCATGGTGATTCATGGGAGAGGTATGAAAATATGAGCCATAACTTAGCTGTCACTTAGCCAGGTGCAAACAATCAACTTGGTCTCAACTGGATAGGGGATGACTGATTGCCTAATGAAAATTCCCTTTTTTTCTGGTTATAAAATTAACACATACTCACTGTAGAAATTTTTTAAGGTATAAAATAAGAGCCATTTAAAACCTTATGACTTATAAATTATCATGGTTAACATTTTAGTACATTTCATTCCAATGCATTGCCTATGTATCTTTTTTTTTTTTTAATTTTTTATTTTTGAGACAGAGTCTCACTCTGTCGCCAGGCGCCAGGCTGGAGTGCAGTGGCACAATTTCGGCTCAATGCAACCTCTGCCTCCCGGGTTCAAGCAATTCTCCTGCCTCAGCCTCCCAAGTAGCTGGGACTACAGGCACATGCCACCACGCCCAGCTAATTTTTGTATTTTCAGTAGAGACAGGGTTTCACCATGTTGGCTAGGATGGTCTTGATCTCTTGACCTCGTGATCCGCCCACCTTGGCCTCCCAAAGTGCTGGGATTACAGGCTTGAGCCACCACGCCCAGCCCTATATGTCTACTTTCATATGGTTGAGAATACATGTGTATATATAAGTATCTCCAAATATTTTGTATATATCACAACATAAACATGTCCCGGCTGGGCGTGGTGGCTCACACCTGTAATCCCAGCACTTTGGGAGCCTGAGGCAGGCAGATCACAAGGTCAAGAGATCGAGACCATCCTGGCCAACATGGTGAAACCCCGTCTCTACTGAAAATACAAAAATTAGCTCGGTGTGGTGGTACACACCTGTAGTCCCAGCTACTCAGGATGTTGAGGCAGGAGAATCATTTGAGCCCAGGAGGCAGAGGTTGCAGTGAACCGAGATGGTACCACTGCACTCTAGCCTGGCAGCAGAGCAAGACTCCATCTCAAAAAACAAACAAAAATGTTCCCATGTCATTAAAAACTGTATACTTAATTTGTAATGACTACATTAGATGAATTTTATGTGCCGTCATTAATTTTTAAATAGTTATATTTTTTAAAACTGAAATAGGATACAATCATACCAAAAAAAAAAACGCTGATAACCATGGCCATTTTCCTGGATTGCAAATAGATTCAGAGTTCCTCAGCTTCATAAACGTCAACTCGCAGGCTAGCCTGAGATGACCATCTGGTCCGACATGTTAGAAACACGAATGTACCTGCCTTTAATAGAAAACTCCAAGCAATGTAAGATGTTTCCTGTCACCATGGGCTATGCTGTAAAGAGACTGGATTTGATTTAAAAATTCTTTTTTTGTTTGATTTTTGTTATGAAAACCATATGGTTTCAACAACCCCAAAATTACTTCTTTCCTCTATTTCCAGCTCTTTCTCCTCTCTTTGTCCCCAACCCAGTGCATCATGCCCCATTCTCTCTCTTTCTCTCTTAGAGCTCGGGCTTTCACTCAGCTAATTGTGAATTCCTACAAAATGTGGTATTGTGCATATAAATGAACTACCCCAATTTCACTAAAAAATGTTTCCTGTCAGAATAATGATCTGACTTTCAAAAGTAGTTATCTACAGAAAATGTGAAGCGTTGTTACTCAAGTACATTTATTTTAAAAGGAAATTTTATATTACTACCTTAAATAGAAAAATAGCATTATTTGCTCTAAGCAGAAACTATTTTTTAAAATATCATTTTCCATATACTCTACTTGTGTTTTGACTGTCTTCGTTAAAAGGAAGCTTAGCAAATGTTTTAAATGTGAAATAATACCAAAGTGAGAGACGTAGGATGATTTAAAAGTAATTTTTAAAATAGCTTTCTTTGTGATTCATGCTATTTAATGACATAAATTTTTGCCAGCAAAAGTTGATCATGTATGTTAAAATAAAAATGCATTACCTGGGTTGGGGGATAAGACTGAAATGGGTAGAGTGTTGTGGCTCATGCCTGCAATCCCAGCACTTTGGAAGGCCGAGGCAGGCAGATTATCTGAGGCCAGGAGTTCAAGACCAGCCTGGCCCCTCTCTACTAAAAATACAAAAAGCAGCTGGTAGCATGCTTGTAATCTCAGCTATTTGGGACCCTGAGGCAGGAGAATGGCTTGAACCCAGGAGGCAGAGGTTTCCATGAGCCAAGATCGAGCCACTACACTCCAGCCTGGACAACAGAGTGAGACTGTCTCAAAAAGCAAACAAACGAAAAAAGACTGAAATGGTCTCATTGGTGCCTACTAATTGTAGCCTATATACACATTTATTCAACTTCAAGCTTTTTATCAAATATAACTACAAGGTTTGGGTTTTTATATAATATGAGTAAAACCAGGACTTCAATGCCATTTTTCTTGCCAGTAACTTAAGTTATTCTTTATTTTAAAGGTTTCATGGAAGATTTGAGAAAATGTAAAATTATTTTCGTGATTGGTGAGTAATAGCCCTTGCATATTCTAACAATACAATTGCTAATAAGAATTTGGTAATGAAAAAGACTATTTATTTCCCATCCTGTTTTGAAGTCATTTCTCCTTTTTGGTCGAAAAATACTCCCAAGTTTTCCAGATCATTGCTTTCACATAGGCAGTTTTATATTGCTTTGGAATTTGCATCTTTTCAGCATGGAAAAAATAGGACTTGATGGAATGTCAAACTTTCGAGTTTAGCTCTACAATAACAAAGTGCATTAAAGGGGTAAGAGATTGTCGTGTGTTAAAAATCTAACACACATCTTTTCTGTTTGAACACCGACCCCTCATTCCTAAGCTGAACATATCAATTGCCACATGCTCAAATATACCTCATTAGCCAGACCCTGTATTCTACATAGCACACAGTAATAACTGTCCAATTTGCTCCTTGCCCTAGTACGGTGAAACTTGCTGATGGATTAATTGTGGGAGAAAATGCGTTTGACGTTTACCAACATTTTCTGAGCACCCACTATGCCCCAGGTTATCTCATTTAATCCTTAGACAATTCCATTAGGTAGTCTATTCCTGTTACATATCCATTACATAGACAGGAAAACCGAGACTCTGCAAGGTTAAGGAACTTGTCCAAGATTATGAAGCTAATGAGTGTGTGAGAGCCAGATTTCCAGTTTTCCTCATGGAAATAAAGGGAACTAGTTGTACAGTAGTTAAAAATGTACAAAAAAAGGACAAATATTGTCCTTTCAAAACTTAGTACCTTTTCCTCTAATCATTCAGTACCTCAAAAAATGAGTACACCTACCTGTGCATTTTCCAGAAAATGTCTATTTATACTCAGAAATAATGAAAAGGTCCACACCTCCTCAATGAGTGGGAAAAGCATGGTTGTCAACACCACAGAAATATAATCAGATAAACCTAGATTCCGGCAAGTTAAAATCAGAGTGATTCCTTGGAAATCTCTGAGTAAAGCTCCCTCACTGTCAGATGAGGAAACTGAGGCCCAGAGAAGTTAAGGGTTTGATCACAGTCATTCACTTAACTGGAGCAGGGAGGGGACCAGGGTCTCTGCCTGTAGTTAGTCACTCTGGGGTTCTCCCTCCTCCCGGACTCCGTTGTGTTGGCTGTTGACCTGAATGCAAACTGCCTCACACTTTCAGCCATCCGACACATGCTTATTGACTACTGGACCCGTGCTGGGCAGTGGGGATTCACAGAGCTGCCGTCTTAGATGAAGAGAATAATTAATATGTCATTAACCTTGGAAAGTATTAGGAAGGAACCAAAGAGCTGAAACAGGGAACAACCTGGGTCAAGTATTTAGAGTAAAATTAGGTGATTCCTTTAGAGCAGGCGTCCCCCAACTTTTCACACAGGGGGCCAGTTCACTGTCCCTCAGACCGTTGGAGGGCCGCCGCCTACTGTGCTCCTCTCACTGGCCACCAGTGAAAGAGGTGCCCCTTCCTGAAGTGCGGCGGGTGGGGGGCTGGATAAATGGCCTCAAGGGGCCGCATGCGGCCCGCGGGCCGTACTTTGGGGATGCCTGCTTTAGAGGGTGACCAGGGAAGGCTTCTCTAAGAATGTACATTTAAACAGATAAAAAGAGAGATGGAGGCCGGGCGCGGTGGCTCACGCCTGTAATCCCAGCACTTTGGGAGGCCGAGGCGGGTGGATCACGAGGTCAAGAGATCGAGACCATCCTGGTCAACATGGTGAAACCCCGTCTCTACAAAAGGTGCAAAAAATCAGCTGGGCATGGTGGCACGTGCCTGTAATCCCAGCTACTCCGGAGGCTGAGGCAGGAGAATTGCCTGAACCCAGGAGGCGGAGGTTGCGGTGAGCCGAGATCGCGCCATTGCACTCCAGCCTGGGTAACAAGAGCGAAACTCCGTCTCAAAAAAAAAAAAAGAGATGGAACTAGTGAAGGGATGAATGGGAGGTTAGAGGAGGCAAAGAGAACTGTATGTGTCAAGCAATGGGAATTCTTGAGACCTACCTTAGGTCCATTTGTCATCTGTTTACCTCTAGTTGACCTTAACCTTGGGAACTGGATGGACTCTTTCCACACTTTAATTTACTTTTTTTTCAGAAAGTAAAACTATATTGCTTATATCTCTTATTGAAGAGTAACCCAATGTCATCATTGCAAAGGGAAATCAACTGTGCTATAGATTACTAAAATTACCTTTTCCACGTAAATTTTAATAATCGATTTTCTTGGCATTCAGACCATACACAGTGTCTTAAATTTTCTATTCCATTTTTATATTAGGAGCCAAGTTAGGAAAAGGGGAGACCCTTTAAACTTGACAGCTAGGAATTCAAAGCAGGAGCCTGTATTAGGGTTCTCTAGAGGGTATTAGGGTATTAATCTAGAGCCAGTCCGAGTCCCAAAACTGAAGAACTTAAGAGTTTGAGGACAGGAAGACCCCTTTATTATCACATAGAAATCTATGTTTTTATCACAGAGCCCTTTATTATCACATAGAAATCTGTGTTTTTGATAATCTAGTCCAAAGAAGCTTCTAAAAATAATACAATATGTTTTGTGGTGGTTGTTACTGCCTTTACCAGTAATATTACTTCAGATTTATCCATTGTTTAGCACTCACAGTTGAACCGTGAAAGGTATTGTCAAATGCCACTCTCTCTTTCTAGGCATAACTAAAGACCTCACACCTATTACTAAGTCCTGTGCCCTTCAGAAGTTCAAACAGCATAGTATAAGAACTTTGGAGTTAGACAAAGCTCAAGACCTCCAAGGGTCCACAGACCACACTCTAAGAACTACTGCACTGAGCAAAAGATTTTTCTTCTATCTGACCAGATTCTCCTGTATTTTAATTTACTGATCAGTCACTACTCTTGTAAAAGAGATTTCAGGCTGGGTATGGTAGCTCACACCTGTAATCCCAGCACTTTGGGAGGCCAAGGCGGGTGGATCACGAGGTCAAGAGATCAAGACCATCCTGGCCAACCTGGTGAAACCCAATCTCTACTAAAAATACAAACATTAGGTGGGCGTGGTGGCACGCACCTGTAGTCCCAGCTACTTGCGAGGCTGAGGCAGGAGAATCACTTTAACCTGGGAGATAGATGTTGCAGTGAGCTGAGATCATGCCACTACTCTCCAGCCTAGTGACAGAGTGAGACTCCATCTCAAAAACAAAAACAAAAAACAAAAAAAAAAAACCAGATTTCAGCTTGGGCAGTAGAAGGTATAAAGCCACTGTGATATAAGGGAAAATGACTGCTCTTCTTCTAGTGTATGTACTGGACTCTGAGAATTAAAGCCTTAGTTCTACATACTTCCTTGACAGGTGGCAGAATGGTATTTTGGGACTGCTTTATTGTAAGTCAATTTAAACCTCATAAAAATATTCCAGATGTCATAGACACATCCATAGCTATTTCGATGAGGTTTTTTGTTTGTTTGTTTGTTTTTGTATTTTTAGTAGAGGCAGGGTTTCACCATGTTGATCAGGCTGGTTTCCAACTGCTGACCTTGTGATCCACCCACCTCAGCCTCCTAAAGTGCTGGGATTACAGGCATGAGTCACCGTGCCCACCTGTTTTGATGAGTTTTAATAAATAAAAGTCAGTTTCTTTCAGTGAAACAGTGGTTTTTGTCTGTTCGAGATGACTGAATTTTCACTTTTAAATTCTTGTCTTGGCACCTATCTGAACTACATTTGGGCTGCAGTATTCGCCAGAGTCTAGGTTAATGTCCTCACTATTTGTCTTAATATGCCTAAACCATTCTTTCCCTGTTTTAACGTATCCATCAGCTCCTTTTTGTCCACAGAAATGTCCAGACTCCTTAGACTGGCCTTCACAGCTCTCTGCTGCCTGCCTCAGTGTGTCTTTCCCATTTCCCACCACACTCCCATGTCAATCTTGGGCTCCAACCACGCCTGCATCCTTATTATCTCTTGAGCCTGTTGCACTTTGCCAGCCCTTTCACTCAAAATGCCTTCTCCCCTGCTAATCATGCCCCAAGGTCAGGGTTAAGTTCCAGCTCCCTGAGAACTCTGCTGTAATCACCAGCCTTCCTCCTCTGCGCTCCTCCTCCCTTGTGTCTACATCATTCGTTTGGGTACTACTTAATGACTAGAACAACAAATATTTATTGGAATAATGAATTCTTTAAGAAGCAGTGTGGTCTGTTTCCATAACAACCAAAATTGCAATTGGAATTCCTGGCCTAGAACTGACAAGCAGCTTGTTGCTGCTGCTGTGGCTGTTTCTTGCAGGATGATTTTTATGTTAATTAGGAGCCTAATCAGATGCTCCTTTCTCCAAGTAGCTGCTACCTTCTCACTGAGAACAAGCAAAAGCAACTCTTCCCCTGAGCTGGTGCTGTTTCTTGCTCATTTGCAGCGCAGTCATCACAAGTGGGAGCAGGGGATAGCACTGATGGTCATCTGAGTAGAAAATATGTTGAGGGCGAGGGTACCATATGCACCAACGGGAAAGGTGGCAAGGAAGGACCCAGTCGACCCTTTGAATAGTGTGTGAATAGTACATTCTTGTTCACAAGGAAAGCAGCTCAGTAGCTGTTTATAAAGAAATACCTTTCAGAGAACAAAGAAGGGATCCCACAGGGTAGGACCAGATGATCAAAAGGATTGGAAAAGACGCTGTGGACTTCAGTTGTTCATGCACAAGATATGAGAACTTGCACTGATATATAAGACAGGTACTCAATCATTTCCATAAACTGAAAGTTATTTGGAAAATGTAAAAATATCCTTTAAGGAGCCTCATTATGTCCCACTAACAGGTTCCTACCGTTTTTCACAACTTTTTCTGGTATATTTCTTTCCTTTTTTCTTTCTTTCTTTTTAATCTCCTGATCATTATTTTGCTATAAACTAATTTATTTTGGCTTCTTTTTCCCTTCTCCATTTTTCACTGCTTACCTATGCCCAAAATGTGACATAATCTACTGCTAATTTATATCCAAAGCTTGGGTAGAAGTGCTCCAATTTGGAAAACACATCTGACTTTTCAGGTGAGGTATGAGGTTGATGACATAATGATCAAGATATCATTCAAAGGCCATAGCTTTCAATGTGTCAGGAACGCAGGTAGCCTGGAGTATATTGGCATTACTGCTGTGAGAAACTGTTTTTAAGTAGTGAGCTTTGGAAGGTATTTTGGCAATGTTTTATGTTCATCTGTGCATTTTTTATCACTGCACAAATAGTCCTATTTATTTTCCAAAGGAAAACTGGAAAAATAAGAATTTTTGCTTAAAACTCAATATTGCAGTGCCTGCTGCCACTATTTCATTATAGCCATGTTGTCATTTCATTATTGCCTTATTATTAAAGAACCATTAATTGATTTTTTTTTTTTTTTTTTGACATGGAGTCTCACTCTTTCACCAGGCTGAGGTACAGTGGTGTGATCTTGGCTCACTGCAACCTCCGCTTCCCGGTTCAAGTGATTCTCCTGCCTCAGTCTCCCGAGTAGCTGGGATTACAGGTGCATGCCACCACACCAGGCTAATTTTTGTATTTTTAGTAGAGATGGGGTTTCACCACATTGGCCAGGCTGGTCTCAAACTCCTGACCTCAGGTGAATCTGCCCGCCTTGGCCTCCCAAAGTGCATGAGCCACCGCACCCAGCCATGAATTGATTTTTTAAAGTATCTACTTGAGCTTTGGAAGGTATTTTGGCAATGAACATGAACACTTTTGATGGAATTAACTCATATTTGGTTAAATTAAACATGAAAGAAATCGGATTATTTTAATTCAGTGTAGCTATAATAGCAGCCAGCATTTATTGAGCAATTAACACATACCAGGCATGAAATAAAACACTCTATAATGTTATCTTATTGAATGCTCCTACACACCCCCTGGAGTAAGCACTATTACTATCCTGATTTTTCAAGTAAGACATTGGGGAATTGAGTTATTGCTATACGTGGTGGATCTGGAGGTTGAAAGCATGGATTCTGGCAAAAAACCCTGCCTGTTGCTTTTGTTGTTTTTGGTTTTTCTTGAAGTGACAGGCTTTATTTATTTTCAAGAAAATGTCTGCCAGATACTGAAGTCTGAAGAAAACCTCAGTTTGTTTGTTAGATGTTCTTTCAGAAAGTAGATATAGTGTTCATTTTTAAAAGCAACTGATTCAGCCACTTAAATAATCACACAAATGTTTTTTCCAAAACAAAAAAACAAAACCCATAGGTGTGCTAAAGAGCCTTATGCGTATTTCTCATTTTGTCATGCAAAATATTAAACTGATGTGCACTTAAGGGTCAAATGAAATGAAATGTGGCTTTTTTACCATGTCATCAAGGGCGTTCTTATGTACTATTGGCATTTTCTTTCTCTGTTTTTTACCATGAGTTCATGGTAGGGAAGCACATGACTAGTACAGCGGGACTAACACACTGCCGCAGTGCACCGGGGGTTATAACCATTGCTTCTGCACCACCCCTGCAACGCTGATAACCCCTTAGTGTCATAATGAAAATAGGGGGCCTCCAATGTCTGTGGGTCACACTTTGAGAACTACCACTGTGGGTGACTTGGGGGTTGGGGTGGGTGTGTTGGTGTGGGACAGAAATGTGCGTACGTGGGACAGAAACCCCAGATTTTGCACTTAGGGATCTCGAAGGGAAAAAGTTCTTTGTGTCTTTTCAAGCAAATAGCCTCACAAATGTGAGGAAGAGGTCAGGGGAAACGAGGGGCATCTGCTGAAAGCCCTGTTTCTCTGGGCTCCTGTAGGCTTGGAAAAAGTTCTGAGTGTTTCTCTGTGCCCAGTGGTGCAAGGGATGCCTAAAAGGAAAGCCTGTGCACTTGTCAGAAGAAAGCGAAGAGGACTCTAGCAGGAGGTCCCAAAGCAGGGGGCTGGCTGGAAGGAGGAGGCGGTACAGCCCAGGGAATCAGGAGCACCAGGAAGAACCAGAACTGAAGGGAGGGCAAAGAAAACCTTCCAGCTGGGAGATTGGCCCTGACAGGGAGACTGAACTTTGACCTGGACTATCAAGGTTATCAGAAATCACTGGATAGGACTAAGAAATCCCAGACTGGATTTGATTGAATCTCCACTATGAAGTGAAATCAGACAGCTCATGAGCTAGGGGTGGGTGTGATAGTTAATTTTAGGTGTCAACTTGACTGAGTTAAGGGATACACAGCTGGCTGGTAGAGCATTATTTCTGGCTGTGTCTGTGAAGGTAGTTCTTCCAGAAGAGACTGGCATTTGAATCAGTGGACTGAGTAAGGAAGATCCACTCTCACCAGTGTGGGTGGGCACCATCCAGTCTGTTGGGCTCAGCTGGAACAAAAAGGCTGAGGAAAGGTGAATTCACTCTCTCTCTTCTGGAGCTGGGTCATCCATTTTCTCCTGCCCGTGGACATCAGCAGCCCTCTAGGTTCTTAGGCCTTTGGGCCCTGGCTGAACTACACCCCTACCTTCCCTGTTCCTCTGCTTATAGATAGCCTCTCATGGAATTTCTTGGGCTCCAAAATGGAATGAGCCAATTTTCACAATAAGCCCGTATGTATATATGGACTTATCATGGGAATAATAAGCAACAGGATATATACATCCTGTCGCTTCTGTTACTCTAGAGAGCCCTGACTCATACAGCTGGGGTCTCCTAGAGAATAAGTTGCCATCTGACTCTCGCCGTTGGCCTGGCCCAATTAGAGCACTGTCCCAGCTCCAGACACAGGCACCAGATCTCACAGTTCTTTCTCCCTTGAAGGGATGCAGACACCAAGGCCCCTTTTATACTCTCCCAGCCCCAATACCTGTATTTTAAAGTCCAGGCCAATCAGGATGAGAGAGTAAAGGAAAAGAGACATTGGACTGCTTTCCAAGACAGCCTCAAATGCATTTACCAACTAACGAGATGTCTTTCTAATGTTGGAGAAATGTGGGCATTTTGTGGTGAGAGTGAACCTCCTTAATTATATAAACCTTTTCACTGCAAAAAGGCTCTAAGTAGTGTTGAACTAGAATGCAATGAATTCTTCATTTAATCGAAGCACATTAATAAGCCTTTATCAAGGGCTTACTATGCTCAAAGAACCGTGAAATTCAAAAAGACATAAAACAGTCCTCGCAACACTGCATGACAATGGCAGGAGTTTAGGACTCATCTAGAAGGGCAGATTACTGCTAAACAGAAAAGAGCCCAAGTACATGAGTTTACCCAGTAAAGGGAATGGAGACGTCATACTCACTGTGTCCCTACCCATTTGTTGAAATCTTTTCGGAAGCACTCTCAATTCATCAACTGAGTTACCTGATGAAGCTTTAGGCATTTAGCTGTTCACTAAAGGCTAAGTGCATTCAAGGAAATGACCAGTGTTCCTTGTCTGTGTTGTCCTGCTTATTGATTAGCAGTTGAGGGACATCTCCAGGCTGACTCCCTCAGTGCCTCTTTGGCTTGTTTAGAGAGCCACTATGAATGATCAGGGGACAGTGGGACATGCTGCAGACTCTAGCAGGCCCCCACACTGGAGAAAAGAGAATACCCAAAGTCTTGTGTTTGTATCCAAGTTCTGTGTACCCTTGGGACAACCCCTTATCTCCTTTGGATTTCTTTTAAAATAGCAAAATGTTATTTGTTCTCTGTCAGTTCCAAATTTGAGTGACAAACAAGTTAACGTATTGCTAACTGTTCTCTTAATTGGAAACTTGTACAACAGAGACATAGCCCAAGGAAGTGAAGTGTGAAGGAAATAAGTCAAATACTCCATCCTCTAGCCTTAAAATACTCATTTTAATTACCTAATAACAAGATTAAAACGAACATACACTGGTGACCTACTGTGTTCCAGATACTGTGCTGTCTTCATATGCAGTATCTTATTAAATCCTCACACAGTCATCAACACTCATATTCTTCCCCATTTTACAGGGAAGAAATTGAAGAAATCAAGGCTCAAAAAGGTTAAATAACTTTCGCAGGGTTACACAGTTAATAAATGACAGAATTGAGACTCAGACCCAAGTCTCTCAGACATCAAAGCCCGTGCTCTGAAAGTGTCTGTATATAGAAAGCAAGGAAACCAAAATGCAGGTGAGGCTGTGGAAACAGTGGGTGAGGGAAGTTTGCCATCATTATTCGAATAAGTGCTGCAATTGTCTATTTTGCTTTGTTCCTACATGCTAGCCATCGATGTCTGAAAACAAAGGTCACATGAAATATCAAGTGAAGAGCAATGAAACAGACTTCTGACTACCCCAGCCATGTTTCTGTCAATTATGTAAAATTCCATTTTAACTTCAAAACAGGAAACAATTTGGACCTATAAAACTATCCTAACCCATCACTGAAAGTGCAGTGATTTCAGAATATATGCCATCTCTTTTACCATAGAGAGCATAGGTACCTGTTTTGTGAGCATTACCAAAACTACTTCTGAGGGCCATCGGCAGCAATCAGCAAGTGTTTGAGCGTGTGATGCTGGGTAGGTCTGAGGGAACCTGGTCATGCGGTGACTTTTTTTGTGGGTGGAATGGAGTATCTCTCCA